TGTGGATGTTCTTTTTTTGATACTACACTAAAACTTGAGAAGAGGTAGTTTCTCCAAGTTTAGTTGCATAAATTCATCTGAATGAAACTTTTGTACTCAGTCACACTAAACTCTATTGGTTTGTCCTCTACTTTGAATAGATCTTTTATTCATGCATGATTGGGTGACATTACGCATTGGTCATTTGGAAAAGATTGGTTCACTGGGGTATGCAGCTCTTCCAAGTGTAGGCATAGTTTATTATGTGATAGCAAAAATTCACTTTTGTTAATATTACTACCCATCTAAGCAGAAAACACATTAGGACTGGGAAGCTGTCGAGTGCATGGTGGGACATTCAAGTTTTCCAAAATTCCAATGAAGCTCCAGTTTTATCACTGACACCAAATATCATCAACTATTTTACTTAATGTAACAAACCCATTTCATACATTTTTGAGAAAATGTTTGCCAAACATCCAAGTCTGAATAACTGTATTTTGCATGTTTGACCATTCCTTTCACATAAAGTGAAAGTCACTCAGTTGTGTCTGATTGTTTGTGACCTCATGAACTATACAGTCTGTGGAATTCTCCAGGCAAGAATACTGGAGTGGGTAGCCCTTCTCCAGGAGATCATCTCAACCCAGGGATTGAACCCAGGTCTCCTGCATTGCAGGCGGATTCTTTACCAACTGAACTACTAGGGACGCCAGACTTTCACATAAAGTAAATGTTATTTGCTTTTTTAAAAATATTTTTTCCCCTAAAAAAAAAAGGCCAGATCAGTGTAACTTAATGCAGAAGTGCTTTTCTTTGAGACAATCATCCTACTTCTGCACCTAGCAGAAGTGCTTTATGTGTGGGAATTAACAGCTTAAGAGGTCTGGAGTTTCATTTTAGAGTGAAGTAAAGTGTTTCAGAACTGGATAATGGTGGCAGCGGCACAATATTGTGAATGTACTAAATGCCACTCAACTGTTCACTTTAAAATGGTTTTTATGTTACATGAATTTCACCTCAAGAAGAAAGTGGAAAAAGGTGTTTTGTGCATAATTTTTTATTCATCATAGAGAATGTTAAAAAGACTTGTAGGCAAAGGTCTAGAGTTAATAATATTGAAGTTTTGTTTTTGTGCTTTTTTAAACTGCTTTGTCAAGGACATTCTTAAGTGAAATCGGTATTTTGTTTACTATCAGTGTTTACCAGTTCACCACCAGTATATTCATGAAAAATATGATGGCAACCAGTATAAATGGTGTCACTATCTTAAATTGTGCCAGCACAATTTTACCACCTCTGCTTTTGCACTATCAGTGCCTATGTCAACATGGTAAAAAAGGTAAATGAGTTCTTAGCTTTATTATGAAACCAGTTTTAACCCATCTGGGTCCCTGAACACGTTTCAGGGCTCCTGAGAACTCATGGACCACACTTGGAGGACCGCTGGTCTATGCTGAATTGGAGTTGAGCTGACCTAACTCCAGCAGTAGGGGTGTAGTACGGTGCCTGGAAAATCCTTGAAGATGTTGAGTTACATTAACTTGGGTTCAATTCTAGTTTCGGTCTGATCCTGAGCAAGTAGCTCCTCAAAATCTGAAAGCTGCAGTCACCTCTGTCTGCTAGCTGGATGTGGAGGCCACTGAGATGCTGAAGGGCTATGAGGGCTTGGGGATAACCTTCTCAAAGTGCTCACTGAAGGCGAAGAGACTTCTGTCGTTAAGCAGCAGGACCTGGTGTTGGGAGTGCTGCGTCTTAGGGGGTCGAGGGACTTCTGCTTTCCAGGGACCCTGTGTGACCCCGGGAAGCCTCCATGAATCAACGTTTCCATCTGTTCTCAGACTACTTCAGAGAGTCACTGAGCAACTGGAAGAACATTTTCAGCTTTAAAGACAGCAGCGGGGAAACGAGGCTGAAAGGGTAGCAGGAGGCGGGGAGGAAGGTGAGGTGGGGAAGCAGGAGCCCCCTCACATGAGAAATAGGGCAGCGAAAAGCTGTGACTGAGCCTGGATCGCCTTTCTCTTTCCTGGAATTACCTCACAAGGTATTGTCAGCTGAAGCCCACAATAAATCCCACCCCTTTGTTTGGCTTTTCATAAGTTACAAAGTTTTCAAAGTTATTACTTTAAAGAATCTTTACACACCAAGGTGAGGTGAGCAAAGTGACGACTGGGACCCCATGGAGCTGCTGAGAAAACCGAGGCAAAGAAAAAGGAAATTAGAAACAGGTACACAGAAGCACCAAGATTCAGATGTAAGTCCTTAGACTCGGAGCAGCTTCCTTTCCATTGTTTCTTCTTAGGCTCTACTCCTTGAAGTGTTTTTTCAAGGTCACCCAGCAGTTTTCTCTTTTTTTTTTGGAGACAATTTACTAAGGTCTGCTGCCTTAACAGTAAGAGGGTGGGTGGTAGTGGGAATGAGGTGCAGAATGGAGTTTAAAAGCATACTCTAGAATCAAATCGTCGGAGTTCAAATCCCGATTTACACCTCCTCACTTGTAACAAGGGAGCGAACAATACCTGGTCACAGCTTTGTTAAGATCACATCAGATCTACATGGTAAGGATTCATGTAACATAAGCACATCTTAAGGTTCAATCCATGAGAATGAGGACACGCAAATAGTGATTCAAAGTGCACAAATTTCTCCTACGTCTATGGACTAGTTGAGGATTTAGCCCAAGTTAAAAGGCAAATACTGCGACTATTGTTATTCAGTTGCCCAGTCGTGTTCCACTGTTTGCGACCCCATGGACTGCAGCACGCCAGGTGGCACGCTGGGATACTCGGTCTAAAAAGGGTTCCACGTGCTATGCCAAAAGTCGGCCCTCTACTTTCGGACTCTTGGTGACTGTGAGATTGGCTGAGTGAACGCTAGCACTCTATTGGCTGAATATCTGCCACGGGCTACCTCATGGGGAGCTAGCCAGCCTGTGGGTGGGCCGTCCTGGAGTCAGGTGCTAGCTTCCATCCAATAAGAGACCACCAGCTATAGAAGCCGAAGCTTCAGTCTTGGCCCGAGCAGAGGCCTAGGTAGCAAAACGTATGCTCCCGGGGAATGAACTTGACGGAAACCTTATTTTCTTGGACAACAGGAGAAACAGGTGGGAAAAGCAATTTTTTGTTTGTTCATCAGTTCTTTGTACTTACTATTTCCTCTCTCATTCCTTAAAGGCTATACAGTCATAACAGGAAAGGGAAAACTTGATAGCAGAACTATAAGTAAAGCTGCAGAGTTGAGGCAGGAGGAAAAGTCACTATTAATACATGGATTTGAGGGGCCAACAGTAGGCCACCATTGAACTTCACAATTAGCATTGGGCTTTCTGAAAGCCAAGGTAGAAAGATACAGGATCTTCTGCCTAATACTAATTCTCAGAAGTGAAGGGCACCTGTATCTGTGAATCTTGTAGGCAGAGAATAGCCTGCTATATCAGTAACAAAGGATATTGTGACCGTCAAGCCATTAACAATTGGCAGCTGCCTCCCCTAAGCTGCACCTTGATGGGATTCAGGGTGCAAAATCTACAATACTAGCGCCAAAAGTTATGGTGCGTTTTGAAGGAATGATTTCAATGAGCCCAGATGGCTTGCATCTTCCCATACATAAAAAAGTGCTAAATTCATTAACTTGAGATGTCTGCTTTTTTCTTAAATTAACAGTGATCTTAAGATGTTCTAACTACCTGATTTTTGGTGTAAAAATTTCTACATATTCGGCTCCTCCCTTACCTCTTTGGAACAGTCCCTCAGAACTATCAGAGAGGTTGACTCTCGGGCTTAAGTCCTTCGTATGTTGGCCAAATGAAACATAATTCTCAGTTTTTAGGTTGTGCAATTTTTTTTCTTTTTTAGCTGATAGTAAAGCAAAGCCTTTCCTAACTTTGAACTCTAATGTAATTTCTTACTTGGGATTTTATTTCAGGCAATGATGCCACAAAGTTGGCAGTACAGCTTGGTGGGGAGAGGAGAGTTTTTGTTAGCAGTAGGATTGGGTTTGCTTTTTAAAAAATTTTTAGTGTATCTTATCCTAGACTGCAATTTCTTCAGCTGTAAAATGGTGATAATAACAGTATCTACCCATTTAAGCCGTGAAGATTAAATTGGATGTGTTGTATTGAAATTAGCTATTAATCAAGAAAATTTCCCGCTATTTGTCATGAGCAGTTCTAGGTGCTGGGGATAAAGTGATGAACAAAACAAAGAAGATCCTTATCTTCAAATAGTTTTTACTTAAGAATAGGATAGAAAGACAACAAACATTAAAAAAACGGATAAATAATTGCAGAGTGCTATGGAAAAAAAAATACAATTAATGCTAGGATAGATTTCATTTGACTGATTCAGTCATTTTCCAGAAAAGTCAAAGACAGAACGTTAAAATGCTAATCTTACAGGTGAATCTATTAGGGCCTGAGGGAATTCAGTCCTGGTTTGTAGATTTGTTCTACAAGCTATTGTGTATGGGTTACAAATTTTTCCTTTTTTTTTTTTTTTTGCTTGTTTGTTTGAAAAGACTTCTTTTACCTGAGCTTCGGTGGAAGCAGTGTCAAATTGTATTCTGAGTAGAACCTTGAGCACGCTATATTTACTTGCATTACATTAAATTAGTTTTATTCTTAGCACAATTAAAGGTGAAAGATACTACCATTGTTCGAGCATTGTCTTGCCTCTGGCTGTAGAGCTAGGAAAAGATGCCTCGCCCAAAGGTTGACTTCCTCGCCCATTCCCAGATCCTGTTTCTCTCTTTTTTCAGCTGGAGCGTCCCAGCTAACCCCTCGCCCGCCGCGGGCGTTCAGCTGATCTGCAGCCCCGCCCACCACCGGGGCGTGTCTACCGCCCCAGACCACGCCTCTTGCTCCGACTGCCGGCAGAGGGCCGGAGCGTGCGCGCGCGCCCCCGCTAGCGGCCCGGCTCGGCGTCGGGAGCGCGCTCTGTGTGGCTGGTGCCGCCATGTTGTTGTGGTTGTGAGAAGGCGGTGGCGGAGGCGCAGCCGGTCGAGACACTCCAGCGGCCCAGGCGCTGCCCCCCGCCTGCCCTGGCTGGGAGCCTCGAGGGGTGGCGGAGGCCGTGCCGTGACGGGCCTCGCCATGTTCTGCAGCCCGGTAAGGATCCCCCCCCCCCCCCCCGTCCGTTCGTCCGTCTGCCCCCCCCCCCCCCCCCCCCCCCCCGTCCGCTCCGGGGGTGAGGAGGAGCTGGAGGAGGGGCCGTCCTCGGCCCCGGCGCCGCGGCTGTCACCCTCTGAGGAGGCGGCGACCCGCGGGGAGCTGGGGACGGCGTGCGTGGCCGGAGGAGGGTGGCCCGGACGGCGGCCACGGCCGCCAGAGGGAGGCACGGGGAGCCGGAGCGCCGCGGCGGGGCTCGGCCTGAACCCTCGGCGCGGGGGAGGCGGGGTCCGGCCGGGGCGGCCTTTCCGGACCCGGTGGGGAAGGGCCCACGGGGATGCGGGGTGTGAGGCGCTACCCGGTAGCGTCCGGGGAGATGCCCGCGAACTTCCAGGAGGTGAGCGTGCGCCCCTCACCCCGACTGGGTCTGTGGGCGTCCTCTGGCGGGAGGCCGGAGGTCGGGGGCCACGGAGCGGTCGGGGGCCACGGAGCACCCGGGGCGAGCGGCGCGGGCCCGGGACTTGAGGGAAGGAGGAGTGGCCGCCCGACTGGGGAGCTGGGCATCCTCCTGACCTGGTAGTCCGGGGTGGGAAGGATGGTTCGGAGGTGCTCGAGAGAACTCGGCACTGGTCAGACTGCTTCACGAAAGGTTAGAGTGATTTCTTAGGTGAAAAATCCTGCCGCTTAGGACCCCTAAGACAGTATTGTTGGTTGTACTTTGGGCTGGAAAACTTGCCTCAAAATAGTAAGGGTAAATTTTATGGCCATTTAAATAAACTCTGGTGTATGATAACCTTACCTGTGAGTTTTGCACAGGAGCTACTGTGGGGGGTAATGATATCCAGGTGTTGTCTCCAGACTGAGGCCTAAATTCTTACCCATATCTTGACATAGACTTTGTTGTATGACAGTGTCTGCTTTTTTTCCCCCACAGCGAGGGAAAAAAAGTGGGCTTGCTCTTCCAGTTGAGCTTCACCTTCGTTTCTCAATGTGGGCGACGGTGCCATCAAGGCCTGCATTGAATTATGCGGGATGATTTTTGGTTTTAGTTTTTCGTATAAAATAGTTGGGATTTATATGTGTAGAGGTGTTGGGGACCTCCCCCTTTCACATCCAAGGCTGTTTCAGTAGGGCAAGAGACAAGATGCGTGTTTTTTTTGTTCAGAGACCAAGTGAGGTACACCAACCTGTGTTGGTGTCAAGCAGTCTTCCCTTCTAAGGCTTGCGACTTGGGTGGGAAGAAGAGCTTAGAGAGTGACAGTGTTTGGAGTAAACCCAGTACAGTTTGTGATATTTAGCTAAATTTGGAGGGCTCTAGAATTGTAGATTGGCTTCGTATGAAGGCTTCTTTCAACTCTAATTACCTCCCTTATTTTCAGGTGGCTCAGAGCTGTTCACGTGATCGCTGTGCTTCTACGGCCCCACTTGTAGTTAGTTAATAGCAAGCCATAGGAGAACCCAAGTTTTCCCAGTTTGTAAACTAGGTTTTTTAGTTCGATGGTTAACTAATTAAATACCATTTGTCAAATAGTACGGACTGCATAGTACGGACTGCCTGAAATGCTTTTTCCGGGCCTCAACGCGGGACCTGGTGAATTAAAATCTCTGAGGGTGGGGCCTTACAAAGCTCCCTGAGTGATTCTAGTCAGCCAGGTTTGTGAATGTCTGCTTTAAGTCACCTCTGGTATTCCAAAGGATTTCCAGTAATTACAACTCCTGAGAGTGTTTTTAATTGTTTATACAATTTGAGAGGTATGGAAAAGAGGGGAGCCTGAGCATCTCTTAAAATACAGTGGATTTATGTATAGGAAACAGATCTATTGCCAAAAATTATTTGTGCACATCTTCAGGAACACGCTTCATAAAATTAGAGGTATATCCGGAGATATAATGAGCAATCCAGAGGACAGAAGCAGAGAGGGAGAGGCAGAAAGTCTGCTTGTGGGCCACAAAGAGCTCCACTGAAGCTGCTTTCCAACATCACTGTTGCCCCTAGACTGTCTGATTCAGGTATATTGTAAAGTGGGGGTAGGGCAGGTGAATTAGCAGTCATTTGAGACTAAGATTGTGAACCAGGAAGGTTTAGTGGGTTGTGAAAAGTTCTTGAAATATGCCTAAGGCCATGAGGAGCGGCAAAGTCAGTTTTAAAGTCTGGTTAACTCTTTCTGTGGTAAAGTGGAGTGCTGAGTTACCAAAGGAAGTATTCATATCTCAGAGGGGGTGTGGTGAGGTTTGTCAGAAGTTTGGAAGAGTTGGAAGGGAGCACAGCTGTAGAGAGCAGTGGAGGAGTTTGGCCAGCATCCTGTGAGATCCTGGTGTGGCCCTGTTAGGGGAGCACACCTGCTTGTCCACTGCGAGAGCCCGAGGCCTCGTATGTTTTGTTCTTTGGTATCTGGAGTAGTTAGCGTAGTTCTCAGCACATACTATGCCCTCAGGTATTTGTTGAGTAAATGATAGTATTGAGGTGGGAGAAAGAACAGTTTTGGTGGTTGATAACAGCGTTTGTTATTAAAAGCTATTTGATAATTTGCATTGAGTTAGAGAGTCAGATTTCTAGTCCTTGTGGTTTGCCTAAGAGATTCTGTTTTCTAAGAACTGTCATTGGACACTATCCTGTCCCTAGTTTTGGGGTCTTAAATGTACCTTGGTTTTTTGTTTTTTAGATTGTATTGTTAATTGACTGCTGCTGGGAATGTCACTTCTCTAGACCTCTGTTTTCTTATCCGTAAAATTAAAAGGTTTGTAATTATTGACCTATAGTAGTTTCTCCAGCCTGATTTTGCAAATCTTTATTAATTTGTAATTGTTATTTAGTATTAATCTCGTATAGGTAGATGAAGCTTCTGTTTTGGATTCCGATTTTGACTTACGGATTATAGATATTGTCCAGAAGTGCTCTGGAAATTGCGTGCATGTTGCAAGTGTTATGCAGAAGCAACATGCTTATGCTGTTGTAATTCACTTAGTGTTGAAATAAAAACGGATTTCTCATAGGGAACTTCATAACTGAGTGTGAAGCCACAAGATTAAGAATGGTTTGGTGCGAGTTTGTGTAATTTCTGTGGTCAGTTGTTTCTTACAGACCACCCAATTCTGTAATTGTCTATGCTGAATTTATATGTAGTTTTATAATCAGCGAAACTTAAGACAGAATATGAGATCAAATCCATACCCGATTGAACTAGGATTCCCAATTTTAGAAACTACCAGAATCTAACATTGTTATTTTTCATTTTAATTTTGTGCTTTTATCTTCACTTTTGCATCTAGAACCTTAACATACCTTTCAGGTTCATATCAGACATTTAAAGTGAAAACAGTTGTAGCATGACAGTGGTTGACTAGTAAGTCCTGAGTTCAAGTCCGTGTTTTGCTTCTCATTAGCTGTGTTGTTTCTGGCAAACCAATGAGCCTCCTGAGCTTCAGGCCCCTCGTTAGTAAAAGGAAGAAGAGCAACTTCTCTGTGTATTTCACTGTGTCAGTGAGGATGTTTCATACACACCATTCCATTTCATGGAATGAAAAGCAGTCTAAAAATGTCAGTGGACGATGATGGAGCCCTACTGTATTAGAATCCTGTTTTCCTGGAAGAGTTGACTTGTGGAACCGTGGTAAGTCTGGTATCTGCTATCAAGTGCAGAATTTTGTAATATCACTGATAAAGCAACAGAAAAGGTTTCTGTTCTGTACTCTTGTTTGGAGAAACCTTTTAGCAGCTCTTGCATCCAGTCTGCCAATAGGAATAGTCAGTGTTTCAAGAAACCTCAGAGGAATCCGAGATGTCTTAAATTTGTGCCAAGGTTTGCAGGCTACACACTCCAGTATTCCTGGACTTCCCTTGTGGTTCAGCTGGTAAAAAATCTGCCTGCAATGCGGGAGACCTGGTTTCGATCCCTGGGTTGGGAAGATCTCCTGGAGAAGGGAAAGGCTACCCACTCCAGTATTCCGGCCTGGAGAATTCCACAGACTGTATAGTCCCTGGGGTCGAAAAGGGTCGGACGTGACTGAGTGACCTTCACTTCATTTCACTTGCCCTTAGAGTAGATTTGCTAGATTTCACCCATTTTGTTATGTTGGAGTGGTGGTGGAAAGTGATAGGGTCAGGGAGTTTGGCACATTCTGTGTAATGATTTAGGGCTGTGTTTTATAAATGGCAGGTGGCAACATAATGAAATCAATGTGATGATTTCTAAAAAAACAGCACATAGAAAATGGTAAAAATATTGATTTGGGAAACTTTTATTATGTTACTGTATGTGTACTGTTGCCACATAAAATGTAATTTTATAATTATAGTCCCCCCCACCCGCCTACCCCGCTCTGTGCAACTTTTGGGATCTTAGTTTCCAGACCAGGGATTGAACCGGACCCCTGCAATGAGAGCGCAGAATCCTAATCGCTGGATCACCAAGAAATTCCCCAGTGTATTTTTTCTTGAGTTGTAAAACTTGGAAGCAATTGCTTAGGGACATGGTACCCGAGCTTTGCAGTTAGGATGACTCTAAAATAGTGAGGCATAAAACAAATGAAAAATTACAAGAAAATTGTGAAGTTTGGTTAAATTAAAGCTGTTTTGTTAAGGGTGAAATACTGTGTGCGTGTGTGTGTTTGTGCACGTATGCACATGCTGTTATATCTGACTGCGACTGCCTGGACTGTAGCCCACCAGGCTCCTTTGTCCATGGGATTTTTCCAGGCAAGAAGACTGGAGTGGGTTGCTGTTTCCTCCTCCAGGGGATCTTCCTGGCCCGGGGATCAAATCCACGTCTCCTGCTTGGCAGGCGGATTCTTTACCACTAAGCCACCTGGGAATCCACAAAGTACCTCATAGCAATTTGTTATAAATTGTTGACTTAATGAACATAGTTAAGACATAAACTTATGCTAATATTCTTAAGCCTCTTTTTCCTTAAATGGACTATCTGGTAACTACAAAGATGTTGTCTCATGGTGTGGATTACTACATCCAGCATCATGTTGGTTATAAGTCCAGACCTAGA